GCTCGGCGGGGAGCTGCGCCTGCAGAGCCCTCGGCAGCAGGGCTGCTTCTGCGGAACTTTTGCAAGTGATGACAAAAGGCTTTCTGCTCAGATGAGTTCTTGTAACCTTCTGGTTCCTCTTTAACAATGGAAAAAATGCGGTTGTAAAGCGGGGTGACAGTATTCCTTGAGTCGCATCGAATCTGCTCTGGCTGCTCTTGAAATGTCTCCAGCTTGCGCTTTCTCTTAAGGGCTCAGATGGCTTCTTCTCGCCGCTTTAGATTCTGGCGAGCGAATCGCAGAACGTATTTGCACCACCACCACCACCCCCCCCCCATCATGCGACCAGATGCAAGCCCAGCTTGGAGCTCGCTTAGCGATTTTGGCTGAGGCCGCAATTCAGCGCGACCCATCTGACTGCATTTCTAACACAGATCTTCGTAACCGAGCGCGGGGGATTAAGCCTTGAGAAGACGGTGTTTGCTATGGCAAGTCCAACCTTGGCACGCTGTGTCGGAGAGCTCGGTGCCTGTGGCAATCGGCGTGGCCATCGTGTTGTTAAGATTTGGGACACGCAGTAGGAGGTGAGGGGTGTTCAAGAAGTGAATTTGTTTGCGTTGGTAGGCAGTTGGTCCTGATACAGCTGCAGTAACGGTTCAACAGTTTCCCTAAAATGGAGCCACCTCTGCATTCATGCTGGTCCTCGGCTCCTTGCCCCTCCTTGCCCGGGCTGGGGCTTTCCCTGGGGATTACCCCCATGGCACAGGGATGAGCCAAAGGAGGTCTCAGATAAGCCCAAACGTGCCAGGTAGCCAAAACCTCTGCTAGCGGTCTGGCTGGTTTTGAAACAGTGGCAGAAAGAAATTGCTTCGTATTCAGTAAACACCTGGTTTATTAAACTTTCTCTTTGCCTTACCCCTCTCCTGAGGCTCCTGAGCTCTGCCAGAGGCAGTGGCCAAACATGTCTCCCAGCCACGGGGCCGGATCCTGATCACCGAGCCCTTGGTGTGAGCCTGGCCCTGGGTGCTGCTGCGTGCCCTGGCTGAGGCTTCAGTGGTGCTGGGTGGGGAGAAGCTGCCTTTAAGGGTCGCCCTGCTCTAGAACAGAGGTCTGGAAAGGTTTAAAAAATCAATACTACTATTTTGTACTAAAAATGACTTCTGTTCCCCTCTTCCCTTGGCTTTGCACAGATACATCTGTGGGCCCCCTGGCTTCCCTAACCCTGTTGTGCCAGAGCTCGGTGTGCGGCTGTGCATGGTGCTCCCACGGGAGAGCCGGTATGGGGCTCTGCAGTGTGGGTGGTGGAGCACCATGGCTGGATCCTGGCTGCCTGCTCCCCTGCCCCAAAACAAGTTACAGCTGTGGCCGGGGCTGCTGCCTCCTCTCGGGAGGCTGAGCCGCAGAGTGGTGGTGGCGTTTGTTGCTTCTGATAGCTCCTGCGTGGGTTCGGTGTGACCCAGGGCAGTGCCTTCTTAAATCCATTTAAATTTGGTCACGGGCTAATGGCTTGCGGATGGCTGATGGCAGTGCTTTTGGCGCGGGCGTGGAAGCCGCTAACGCGGCTCGGCTGCATGGTCTGGGATTTCTTGATGGCGGGAAGCTGTTGTCCTGCTGAGGGGAGTAGGATGGGGGGGCAGGAGGGCTCCGGGGGGCTTGTGGTTTGAGCACAGGCTTCGGGGAGCTGCGTTTGGGAGCAGTTTCAGCTTTGCCGTGGTTTCTTTGTGGCGGGGTGGGTGCCTGCCCTGTCTGCACCTGGGGCTGCTGCTGGGTGGGGAAACTGAGGCAGGCGGCACCGGGAGCCGCTCCCTCAGCGCCTGCTGAGGACTGGGAGGGCGGCAGTGAGGCTGCACAGGTCCTGCCGGAGGAGTTTGCTCGCAGAGGGCAGAGTGCATCCCCGGAGTTGGCGCTCATGGTTGGGGGCCCCCGTGAAGTCTCCCCATGGGCAGCAGTGCCCTCCCAGAAAGCCCCAAGTGTGGTGGGGTGTGGGGTGTTTCGTGGGTGCGCTGGAGCCAGCAGTGGCCCCGCAGCCGTCGGGTCGCAGCCTGCCTCACCTAGACAGCACCTCTTGGTTTTCAAGGGGTGTTTGTGCCCCCACGGGGGATCTGTTAAGTACTGCTCAGGGGAAGGTGTCTCGAGTTTGGCCAGTGCTCAGGGACATGCATGGTGCAGGGTGCAGAATAATCCCCCTGTGGGTCTCCCCCTTCTTTCTCCCACCCTCCCCTGGGTCCGAGGATGTCGCTCTTGGACGTGGGTTTTTTTTTTCCCCTCGAGAATACGGGATCTGCTGCCTGCTCCCAGGATGGGGCTTTTGGGATGGAGACGGGTAACAGCTGCGGTGGGGCTTCCTTCCCGAAACCTGGTGTCTAACGCCCCCCTCTCTCCCTCCCTCGCAGGTGATGCTGGTGGGCGACTCGGGGGTCGGCAAAACCTGCTTGCTGGTGCGGTTCAAAGACGGCGCTTTCCTTGCCGGCAGCTTCATTTCCACCGTTGGAATCGACTTCAGGGTAAGTGCCTGGGGGGCTCCTCCGTCCCCAGCGGGGGCTCCTCGGCCCCTGTCTGCTCGGTCCCTGCCCACAGGGTCTGGCAGGTGAGTGATGGCTTTTGCAGAGGAGTAACCAAATATTGCTCCCATGACTTAAACCTCGTCATCCCGACCCTTGTCAGCTCCAGCCAGAGCACCTCGGGGCTGAGCAACCGTCTGATGGCGGCGGCAGCAGCGCAGTGGCCTCTTCGTTACCGCTTTGCATGAGGATGGGGGAGCACGTCCTCTGTTCTGGGTCCTGGGGATGATTCGTGTAAGAACAACTGCTGAGGCCTGAGCATCTGCCCAGTGAAAATACTTCCCTAAGTCGGTTTCAGTGTTTTTTAAGAGTTGAGGGTTTTGTGTGTTTGTTTTTTTTTTTTTAAAAAAACCAAACAGACCAGAACTGACACAAAACAAAATCCCCTGGAAACATCTCGTGAGCACAGCTTTGGCGTGCTGACGTGGGGGTGCGGTGCCGGGGTGGCCCTGCTCCCTCTGGCACGGAGGGGAGGTGTCGTGCCAGGGGGTCTCTGAGCTCTCGGAGAATAAGCGTTTTGTTGGCAGTGACCAGAGCATCCCGGTGCCGGGGGAGCCCCGAGGGCAGCGTGTCGGGGCTGCGCGGCACCAGCGAGGACAGCGGGAACCTGCTCAACAAAGGGGATAATGTGGGGAATTGGGGGCAGAAGGGGAGACGGCTCATGTCCTGCAGTGCCCTGGTGTGGGCAGAGCATCCTTTGCAAGGCACGAACGTCTTAGTGCCGGCCAGGGCCCTTGAAGGCTTTTCTTGGCTGCATTTCCCCGGCGGTACCTTGCTGGGGTGCTGGGGCTGGTGGCGGGGCGGCTGCCCAGGGATGCCATGGTCCAGGCAGCCCCTGGTGAAGGGGGGGGCTGCGGTGCCACCATGGTCACCCTGGACTGAGGAGTGGGCACCCCTGGGGTGGGACAGTAAAGCAACAATGGGGACGGTGACTTTACAGAGATGGCATGAAAGAAACCTTACAGCAGGCTGTGAAGGGCCAGCGAGGGAGCCCTGCAGATGCTGCCAAGGCTGCGGTCGCTTCTCTGAGCTATCGCTACCGAAGCAGCATCCAGCAGCCCACCTGGCTTAGGTCTCTGGCCCGAGGATCAGGCACTCGCTGTCCCTCACCAGTTCCCCAACCATCTGCTTCCCCCAAACCACAAGCTCGCTGCCCCCCGAGACGTCTGGCCGGTGCCGCAGGCTCCTGGGGGAGGCTCAGCCCTCGGGACCGGGGACGTGCGCAGTGGCTGTGCTCTCCCTGCCCTGCTGCTGGGGCACTGGCTGCATCGTCTCTCTGTGCGATGGCTTTTGGCTCCGTTTTGGCGCTGTGGTGGTGATGGGTGGGTGCGGTCAAGAGCTGGTGGCGATGCCACGCACCAGTGTTGCATCTTCCTGACCACCTGTTTGCAGCAGGATCTCGGATCTCCCCCTTTCTTGGAGGATTTCTGGGAGATGGGTGTCTCTTGTAACCTGCTATTTCGCTGGGGTTTGAAGAATAACTTGCTGGTACGGTGACAAGTGGATGAGATGAGGGACGGCTCAGGAAGCCTTTAGAAAGCAAGCGATGTTCTTTCCTGCAAATAGGCTTTCGGTGCAGAGCAACGCTGCGGGCTGCCGCAGCGGCTTGGTGAAGTTGGTAAATTGGAGTCCATAATTTTATACAAAGGTAATTACACGGTATTTCAGGTGTTCTTAAAATGAAAAGCGTTTTATTACTGATTTCAATGATTGATACCAAGGGCAGTCATAAAATCCTGTGACTTATTGATTAGACCGCTGAAATGACTGCTACTGAGAAGCAATCAAATTAGGGTTAATTTACTTCTGTAATAGAGCTGCGAGAGCTACATAGGTTTGAAATGGGCAGATTATACAGCAGGGAAGATCATGTGTATGCCCTAAAACTCATTATTATCATCTTTGTAAGGCACTCATAATTTTTTGGGGGACATGGAAATAGTTTTTTGATTGTACATCTCCATTTCCATTAAGATAATCCTGTTTGCAGGCGCTGTGTAATTGTGCCCCTCTCGCCGTTTGCATCACGATGCAGATGAAGCTCCGGGGTGGTAATGGTGGAGGCTTCTGCTGTGGGAGCGTGTTTGGGTTTTAATTTGTGTCTATCTAACAACAAAACTGTCACATCACAGCTCCTTTTGTCTGTAATCCCAGAATTTGGCATCGGGTTTTCTGGCTGAAGCAAGCGAGGCTGTTTGTGACCACGGGCGGTTGTGGTTGGGGAAGGCGGTCGCTGGGTTTTTGCTGCGTTCGCCTTGGACCGGTGCAAGAGGTGCTGAGAAAGCGCAGGATGTTATTTCAGTGCACCGGGCTTTCTCGGCGGGGTTTGCGGCGGTTGCTGAGCCTCGCTGGTGGCGGAGACCGCGGGGACCTCCCCAAGGCCAGGGTGTGCGGCAGCTGCGCTCCTGTGCACACACGACCTTGCTCTGCTCGGGGAGCCGACGCGGGGGGGAGCTGCTGGGAGCCTGGGTAAAGGCTGGGGACTTTGTGGGGAGGGAGCTGCCCAGCTCTTGCCATTATTTTTGGGACTGTCTCTGCTCCTCTTGATGCCGGCTGGTCTCTGCGAAGCACCCTGGGATGGGACGGAGCTGTGTTGGAGGGCAGCCCCCGCACCTGCCCAGCCGCTCTCCGCCTCCTCTCCCAGTCCCCCCAGTGGGCTCTAGGATCAGCCGCTCGTTTTTGAGGATGTCAAACCATTAGATACACACAAAGCTGTGGCTAATGGATTATGTAGGCCTGAGCGAATGTAAATGAATAGAAATCCATTTAAAATTAATCTGGCATTACAATTCCTAACGGCCCCCTATGTTTTTTCCCTCCTACTGTTCTATGTTAGGGAGAACCTCTCGCATTGTGTTTGTTTATCATCGTCTCTTAAACAAAGAAGGATGTTGATCTAAATATATTTGGAAAATAAACTGCTGATACTCGGGAAATAAAGATGATCGTAGTGTTAAAAAAATGCATTAAGTGGTACCTGTCAGCTTCTAGCTTTGGAGATGCCGAGTCCTTCGGCTTTCCTTCCTTTGAAAATTCAGTTTACTGGGGGAGCATCTTTAGCTCCTCGGAAACGCGCCAGCCCTCCCCGTTCAGCCGGGGCAGTGCTGGCACGTCTGGGGCACCGTGGCACAAGGTCTTCCTCCTCATCTTCCCCGGGCCTGGCGGGTCTCAGCAGATCCCTCTGCTTGGGGGCAGTGGTGGGGCCGAGTCTCTCCCTGCAGATCCCCGCCGGTGAGGGCAGGATGGGTCCCGCCTGTGCAGGCAGAGCGGCTGTCTGGGGCAGGTCGTGCATGCTTTTCTAACTTCGGATGTTAGGAGTTTCAGGGAGAAGGGCTCCTGGAAAAGAGCACGTTTATAACTTGGAGGTGTGAATCCCGTTTTTCTCGGTGCTACTGCAGGAGCTGCCTTTCGCTGTAATTTTGGGAATGCAGCAGAAACCTCAACAGAAATTAAAGCTGCGCAGCCAACAGTACTTCTGTCTTGTTGTAACAGCTAACTAACAGGAGGAATGTCTTGCCAAAGCTGAGAAACCAAAGGGCCACGTGAGCCCAGCGCGTGCCCCCTCCCCGATGACGGCTGGTGCTTGCAGCGCCGCGCTCTGTCCCGAGCTTTGCAGCGTCGGGCGAGTTAAGATTTTTGTACTAATTGGACCTGAAAGGAGAAGAACATAAAAGAAAAAAAATTAAAGATGAGCCTTTTCTCCCTGGGAAGAGGTGCTAATGAGTTTCTTTGCGTTAGCAGGGGAGATGGTTTCTGCGTTAATCAGTGGGATGGAACCGTTAGGAAGCGCTTTGCTGGTGGAGTTCAGAGCAGGGCGGCTCGTCTTCATTTTCTCCGAGGTGTGTAGCAATATCGCTCCTCTCTTGCTGCCCCACAGAGAGGGAGCAAACCCACAGCCTCCTGGTGCAAAGCATGCTTAGGTGCTGTGGGAGGAGGAGGAGGAGGAGGGAGCCAGCCCCGGTGCTTCGGCACAGCTTTGGGCTTCCCGAGCCAGGCATCTGGGCGCAGGGAATATTTCCTCTGAAGGCTGGGCTTTGACGTCCGCCGGTTTGCACCAACGGGCCCAGGAGGGGTTTCTGCTGGTTGTTACCCTGCGGGGACCCGCAGCTCCCCGCCAGCCGCTGCCTCCTCAGGTGCGGGCGAGCCGGCAGCGGCCGCGCTCTCTGCTCCAGCCTTGGCCGTGCCGCAGTTAATCTGCCCGCTGGGACGGCTGCTGCACACTGTAAATAAAAGCTGTCACTTGCGACCCTGAGCTTTAAGGACTTTCGATTACATTCAGCCCTGCGCTGCTCTGGGGGTGGAATCAGCGGTATATAATATGGTTTCTTGCATAAGAGATTTGTTGCATCTCTGTTTATTTTTTGTAGTGTGTGTGTGCACCTTCCGTCGGCAAAACAGCAGCTGCTGGCCGCCTGCTGACTCCCTCAGTGAGCTTAACTTTGCAGGAGAGATGGAACGCTTCGTTCCAGCCATGCAGGGTGTGCAAACTAACACCGGCCGCCGTCTGGATTCGGCAGGTCTGGTCCTGGGTCTCCACGCGCTCAGGGGAGGGAGGTGCGGATGCCCCGAGCGCCCGCGGGTCCCCAGCGGGTGCCCACATCCCTGCCCTTGGGGCAGTGCCCCAGCGCAGCGTTCGCCATGGTGCCTCCCTTGGACGGGTTGGTGCAACCTGGAGCCATCTGAAAGCCAAGGGCTGGCTTTTAGCTCAGCGGCTGGCACGGAGCGTTAGCAGGGCTAATCTTCTGATGGATCAATCTGGAAAAAGTGTGAGGGCATCTGCTTAGGCCAGAAGAAAGAAACGGAAATAAATTAATTCCAGCATGTCTTTCTATACAAAATTAGTCCTGAACATTCGAGGGAAGGGACTCTGGGCGTTGAGCAGAGTGTTTATTCTCTTCTGTTCGCACGCTTTGCCGTGTAGTGTGGTGATGTGTATGGGGTCGGGTGGG